CATTTTCCCTCTGCCCCATTTGCCTATGTCGTCTTATGTAAAAAATGCAGATTCACTGAGCCAGAAAAAGTCATGAATACCTATTTTTCCCTACCTTCCTCTTACATGAAAACTATTTGGAGCCCTCAAAATCATCTTTGGAGAAAGGCATAGACCTGTCTCCTAAATGCACACCCTTAACTTTGGCAAATAAACCTAAAATGAACGAGACTTGTCTCGTCATTTTTCTTGATCAACATCACACAGTTTCTAAGACTCAAGAATTCAGGCACGGCTCATCCGGGTCTCTCTCTCTGTCTCTTGCTTGGCTTCAATCATCTCACCCTTTGACTGGGGAAGGATCCACGACGAAGCTCTCTCACATGGTTGTTGACAGGCCACGTGTTTTTGATATCTGTTGGCGGAAGACAGTTTCTTGCCACATGGACTTCTCCATGGGGCTACTCACAGCCTGTTTCCCCCAGAGCAAGGGTTGCAGAAGGGAGAGGGAGGGAGCAGCAAAGTGGAAGTCTTGGATTTTTGTAACCTCATCTCAGAAGTGACAGCCTATCTTTTTTTTTTTTGTTCCTATTCTATTCATGAGAAGCCAGTAAGCCCAGCCCACACTCAAAGGGAGAGGAATACATAAGGTCATGAATACTAACAGGCAGAATTCTCTGGGGGGCACCTTTCAGGCTGACTGGCATCAACATAATTCCTTCTCACTACGTTAAGGAACACTGAAACCAACATCCTTTCCTAACCCCAAGTTAAACAATTCTGGGATAGGGCATACTTTCCCTACGTTAAACACTACTACAAAAAAAAAAAAAAAAAAAAAAAAAAAAACAAAAATAACTTAGAGGCTTGCTCCTGGAAGGTAAGAGCATAAACTAAGACTGCTTACTTAGCGAGACTAACCTCTTGTTCACTACCACTGCTTTCCCACTTTCCTCTCACAGTGCCCACCCATCCAGGCCTCCTCTGTCGTGGACTCTGTCCCATTACATCCAGTTTCTCCTCTGGTAAGATTCACCTTCAAATTGCACAGCTCACACTCTAAAAACCTATAAATGTCCTCACCTAATTTCTTACTTTCATATGCTACCAAGACTTTGGTGAGGTGTGTTCTCTGTTACTGTAGTAGGTTTAACAAATTTAATTTTCCATAACCAATAAATGTTTTACAAGTCTTTTTGAGAGGCCAAGAGTTGACAATCTTGTGTAAGAAGGATTGTTTCCGTTTTCTATTACTAATAAAATCTTGACCCACTGTCACTATAAAATGACACATTATTTTAGTCAAACTGCACCAATATAAAAATAAAATAAAATAGATAAATAAAATTATAAGGTGCCTATTTGAATGAATGAACTGTGGCTTGCTACACGTTCAACTGTTATGTTAAAAAATCCTATTTAAAAGTATACATTTAATGAGATTTATGAGTAGCAAAGCATCCAAGTTAATGCCTATAGTTGTTTCATATTGTTCTGCTATTTCTTACTTGCATGTTGGTGATGGCGCCTTTGCCACATATCCCTACCATCCCCATGAAACAAGAAGTCGTAGAATTGCTAAACCCTCTTTTTCCTACACAGACAAAACCTTCCCCAGATTCACCACTCCCAAGAGAATATTCTCTCACATCTCAGAATGTTATCTTGGTGTTTCAATGTGTTTAAACTATTATTCTTTGATATATTTAGAATCCTTCTTGACTTTTTTATTTTTTGATGAAAAATAAAGCATTGAGCTGTCTTTTCTGTCTCCAGCGTCAAAAGCAAACACCACTGTGATTCATAGCAAATCTCTACGGCACTTAATTAAAATGATAGTATTTTGTGGGGTGAGGTTTTCTGTTGTCGTTTTAGTTTATGAAAATTAATGGTGTTATTCATGTGAAAATTATAGTTGATACTTGGAATTTTAACATGACTGTGATATCCAAAACATAAAATAATCTGACTTCCTTTAAGTTGTTTCTTATTTTTAAGATTTGTTTCAGAAGACACATCTTTACTTAATAGCAGATTTTCTTCTACCTAATCTCTATCCTCACTCCAAGCTGCAGTGCCCAGTGTTAATGATGGAGAAAATATTTTTAAAATCCAAGAAAGTCATCCTTACATGCATGATTTATCTTCTAATAATGATTAATGCTGCTAATTTGATGCTCAATTGAATTTATGAATTTTTAAATTTGGTTATTATTTAAACAGTCATAGGCCACCAGTGTAAAACAGCACCCACACAATTACTTCCAGGAAATGAAGAAATGTTTGTCTGTAGATGACCAAACATTCAAAAGAAAAAATAGGGGTGTGGTGGCAGGCACCTGTAGTCCTAGCTACTTCAGAGGCAGAGGGGAGACTCGCTTGAGCCCAAGGGTCAGAGGTGCAGTGAGCTATGATCACACCACTGCACTCCAACCTCGGTGACTAAGTGAGACTGTCTCAACAACAAAAAAAAAAAAGAAAGAAAAAAAAAGAAAAAAAAAACATATATATCCCGAAGTAGTTGTATACAATTCCTTCAGCTACAGAACTCCAACATTTAACTTTTAAAATGTATATAGGCAAATGGTAACCTAGTTATTGATCTCAAAGTGGGAACTTTTGATTAAATAAGCATATGAAAAAGAAGGGTTTCACTATGTTAGTACCAAGTAAAATCTTCCTAAAATAATTTCTTTTTCAATTTGGATCAAAACCATGTTCTTATAGCTCAAAATACAAACCCATTGAGACTTTGGGACCCAGCCAACCCTTTGAATAAAAAATCGTTATGGTTTTTCAAGTCCTAGGGTATTTTAGTCCTTGCATTCTAATGAGTAATTAGTACCACTACCAACCCATTAATCACACATATGGCTGCTTTAATAGGTAATTTTTCTGTGACTATAGCTTAAAGATTATGATTGAAATGAAAATGCCTCTGCTTTATCACCTTATTGATATTCTTGATGAATTAATTCAAACCCCATGTTTTCATTTATTTGGAATTGGTTTCACGAAATAAATTATGTCATTTTTCATAAATGTTTCTACACTCGCTAATGTTCAATATTCAACCAGATCAAGCATTACAATATAAAATATTAAGATCCAGTAAAAAGTCTGATGTCAACATGTAATGAGATAAATTATCTTAAACATGTTAATCTTTATTTTCACAGGAAAGGATTACTTGTGGACTTACAAATATGCCTCTAGACAGTGTGTTAGAGATATATTACATTTCTACATATATATAATTCCTTCAGCTACAGAACTACTTGCTCTCCAGCTTTCAGTCATCTTGGCTTTCAGCTGAGGAATTTGGCAGTCAAAAAAACAGAATCAAGTTCTCAGCTTTATTCCTTTTAGGACTTAGAATCTAAAGGGCAAAAACTCTTCTTTTCTCAAAGACCTAACATATTCATCTGCATCACCAGCAGCACCACCACCATTTTAAAATAGCACCCATACAATTACTCATGGGAAATGAAGAAATGTTTGTCCATAGATGATCAAGCATTCAAAAGAAAAAGAGGGGCATGGTGGCATGCACCTGTAGTTTTAGATACAATTTTCCAAAGGAGGAAAAACTGGTTTTAGCAGTGGGCAATGTTCCACCAAAATTATTTCCAGTGCCAACTTCCCAAAGATATGTATCTGTCCCCATCATAATTCTGAATCTAAAACACTAATTTTTCAATCTATTGATTTTTTTTAATTTTAGTTAACAAAAATTGTGTATATTTATTGTGTACAATATGATGTTTGAAATATGTATACATTGTGGAATGGCTAAATTGAGCTAATTAACACATGCATTACCTCAAATACTTATAATTCTTTGTGGTGAGAATCTATTCTTTTAGTGAGTACAATAGACCACTTGAACTCACTCCTCCTGTCTAACTAAAAGTTTATGTCTTTGGACCAACATAGCCTTACTACCCCCAAGACCCCTGGTAACTACTATTTTAATCTCTACTTCTACGAGATCACCTGTTTGGATTCCACACATGAATGAGATTATGAAGTATTTGTCTTTCTGTGCTTGGCTTATTTTACTTAACATGATGGCCTCTAGGTTCATTCATGTTGTCACAAACGACAGGATTTCCTTCTTTTTAAGGCTGAATAGTATTCCATTTTGTACCTGTTTTCTTTATCCATTCATCTATTGATTCACACTTGGGTGATTCCATATCTTGGCTATTTTGAATAGTGCGGCAGTGAACATGTGAGTATAGATATGTCTTTGACATGCTGATTTCATTTCCTTTGTTTATATACCTAGTAGTGAGATTGCTGGATCATATTGTAGATCTATTTTTAATTCTTTTTGGAACCTCCATACTGTTTTTCCATAATGGCTGTACTAGTTTATAATTTGAAAATTCAGGCTGGATGTGATGGCTCACACCTGTAACCCTAGCACTTTGGGAGGCCAAGGTGGGTGGATCACCTGAGGTCAGGAGTTTGAGAGCAGCCTGGCCAACGTGGTGAAACTCCTTCTCTACTAAAAATACAAAAATTAGACAGGTGTGGTGATGCATTTCTGTAGTCCCAGCTACTCAGGAGGCATAGGCAGAAGAATCCCTTGAACCCAGGAGGCGGAGGTTGCAGTCAGCCCGGATCATGCCGCTGCACTCCAGCCTGGACAATCAAAACAGTGCATTAAATAAACAGTCAATTCTTACCTGGTACACCCAGTTTCCCCAATCCCATGGAGGTGGTCCTTGTTTGTTGTTGAAGCTTTCAGACATTTTTTTAAATCCACTTTCAAATTATATATGCATACATGTGTGAGTGTGTGTGTGTGTGTGTGTGTGTCAATCTCAGCATTCTTTTTTAGTATTAGCAAAGGTTCAGAGAAAATTGTAATGCCCATTACTAGGAGACTAGCAAATGTTGCATCCATATAACAGAACTTTTTGGGGCCATAAAAGACAAGTCAGGAAATCTTTAGGTGACAAGGTCTGAAAGTTATATTGTCAAATGAAAAATGCAAGCACCAGAACACTGTGTATTGTATGAATCAATTTTTATTAAAAATGCATGAAATAACACCAAAATTATTTTTTTTAAAACCTCAAAATCTGATACCCTGCAGGGAAGAGAAGGAAATGACTAGGGTAGAGGTGAGAGGGAATCATCACAGATAACCTTTTGCACATTTTTCACTTCAATAAGTACATAAAGTATATAATAAAATTAACTTTTCAAATACGTAAACAAATTTCATTTTAAAAACACTTTTTAAGTTGTACCTTGTGACTTTTTTATGTTAAGTATTGAGACACTTGACAATGTGCCTCAAACATTTTTTTGTTTTTCAGTACATAGGGGCTACTGAATTCTTTTTCCAAAGCAGCATATTATTTCAACATAAGTAAACCGAAGTTTATTTTAAAAGCCTTCTATTTATATACTAAATCACTGGGAGAGGGACCAGTCAATAAGCTCTCCTTGGCCTAATTTAATTAAACTCTTTTCATTTCATTTACTATGAACTTCTCCTTTAGTTTACTAGTATACAATAAATATAAACAAAAATGTTCAACTTTAATAACAGTTAAGCAAATGAACATTAAAATAACAATTAAAAAAAATTACTTGTAAAGGTGTGAATAAAAGGGCACCATAACAAGAGATAAAATGGTACAGTTTGAAGGGCCTTCGGTAATCTGATTGAAAACATTAAAATGCATATTTTTCCCATAAATTTCATGTCTGTTAGTTACTCTTAGCTAAGCAATTGGATGAATTCGCCAAAATAAATGTGCAGCTTTTTATTACAACTTTTTTTTTTTTTTTTTTGGTGAGGCGGAGTCTTGCTCTTGTTGCTCAGGCTGGAAAGCAATGGTGTGATCTTGGCTCACTGCAACCTTGAAAGGAAAAAACTTTAATATTTTGGAAACAATCAAAACATTTAACAATAAGTAATCAGTTAATTTATTATGGCGTATCCATACAATAAAATACTGTGAAACCATTTTTTAAAAAAAGCTGCATAGCATTATTTATTGAAACTTTAAAAAGAAAAAGTCAAGTAAAAAAACCAAATATAAATTATTATCTCATTTTGGTAAAACTATATATTTCCATTAAAAACTCTGGAAGAACATAAATACTAAAACATTAATAGTAATCATTATCAAAAAGTGGAAAATGAGGCCAGGTGTGCAAGCCCAACACTTCGGGAGGTTGAGGCGAGGGGATCACTTAAGCCCAGGAGCTCAAGGTTTCAGGAAGCTAAGAGGATGCCACTGCACTTCAGGGAAGCGAATGAGAACAATTCCTAAAAAAACAATGATAACAACAACAATTTGGAAACCTGGGTAATCTTTTAGCTCATTCTTAGTATGTATTCTATATTTTTTTCTGAAATTAACATGAATTACTTGTATTATAAAGAAATAATACAAGCTGTCTCTTAAACTCTAGCTCACATAAGATAAAGTATAACAAGGGCCAAAGATAAGACTAATGGGCTTAACCATTGTCTAGCCTACCTTTTCACCTAAACATGGAATAATTGCAATTATTTGTGTGTATGGTGCCCTTGGTTGAAAAACATTGTTTAAAAGTAAAGTCAGATTTGAGTAGACAAAGAACAAAACCAACTTTAACTAAAGATTAGATTCAGTAGCCTTTATATCCACGTTGATGTATCTGTAAGATCACCCATAATCCTAAAAGATCCATAATTGATCTTACAAAAGTAAAAGCAAATCTTAAACCTTCACACCAGGTATGCACAACTAGTATTATACTGACCATGCAAACAAAGTTTGACAAGTGAAAAGATGTTTGAATGAGTAAACTAAACATACGAAGCATGTGGGCAATACTGAATGTGTGAAAGTTGCCTCCTAAGTGGCTACTATGTCATTTTTCTTTGTAAATACTCTTCAAAGCTCCAAGAAGTCTTTAAGGAACTCCCTATACTCTGATCTTATCTCAGTGGAAGGCAGAACAGAACATTATCACACCACGTTTATTACTTGTTTACACACATTTCACCCCATGGAGAGGATATGGAGTTTGTAAAGAGACCTTGTGACGTGGTCTTGTACTCAACATTGTGTGAGGGTTTTGCTGTCTAGTTGCTCTGGTTTTATGCGGGAATTTAGAGAGACTGACAAACTATGCTCTCCAGCTGCAATCTTCCTTTCACAATATATTTTTAAGTGAGGAGAGTAACTTACAAACACTATAGACAATGGGATCAGAGGGTTACCAATGTCATTTAAGAGCACAGATAACCTATAGCCAGGTACCTCTTGCTGTCCAACTCCATTCTCAGTTATTGGGAGTTTGCACAGTAACCTCAGATAACAAGGGAGGCTATGTTATCCCAAATCTCTTTGGTTCCTAATTTCAGATAGTAAGTAGCAGCCGTTTGGATAGTGAAAAGGTTATCAAAAAGTATACCCAAATCTATTCCTCTCCTGTGTACAAACGGAGAAATTCACATTTTAACTGAACACTGAATGTTATTTCTGAATTGTAAACACTCAAGATGAAGTTTAAAGACATCAGGTGATTTTTGCTTTCTACTCTATTCCCTTCTGTAGTCTAGTAATTTTCTAAGTCAAACTCGAATGCTTCATTTTGTTTTAAGAAAGTAATTTGAATAGTAACTAACATTTCATCTTTTTTTCAGGAAGTCATGACCTAAATCTGTACCAGTGTGAATTGTCTTACAGACCTTTGGACTGTTGTTTGTTCAGGTGGCTTCTTGATCAAAATAAGCTTTACAATCATCTGAGTAAGAAATATTCCAAGATATGTGCTTTCTAACTGCCCCCAAATCATCCTGCACAATGCTAAATAAAATTCATGGTCTTCACTTACAATATTAAACCAATAAATTTTTGAAGGGAAAAAATCTGTAACAAAATAGGAAGTAAGACCATTTCTCTTATAACAACTATTTTTTTTATCAGGTCACTGTGAATTCAATAAAACCAATTTATTTTTTCTCTGTCTGCCTTGAGATCAATTCTTCAACTGCAAAAGCAATAGACAAAACAAATTTAAATGTCTGAATTAAAATCAATATAATTTATTCCAGAATTCACTCCCATTTTCTTGAAATGAGGTACTAAGGTCTTTGGAGAATCCCTGCACATTCACTGATGTGTGTGTAAACATAAAAATTTATACAGCAATATAAGTACAGTATCAACACTAAAACCAAGGAGGCATTTATTGTTTATAGTGTGCAGGGTTCTATGACAGGCAGCACAAATGCAAATGTCTGGGATATGAATATATAAGATATGAATCTTATGTTCTAAAACCTGACACTCATTAGGTCAGAGTGAGCTTTTGTAAAAATATATATCACTTGGGGCTTGGGGCAGATCACTATATAATAATAATAACCCCTAATGAATCCCATCCTTGGCCCCATGCTCCATTGCCACCACTCTCAAGAGGCCAAATATTATTGCTCTATGTGCTTGAATTTGGTCTGGCCTTATGGCTTCCTTTGATCAACAGAATCTGGGAAGAATGACTTTGTGTATGTCCCAAAGCCTAGGCCTTCTTAAGATGCTAGATGCTGGCAACTTCTGCTGCTCTCATGTTCTTTTTTTTTTTTTTTTTTTTTTTTGAGACGGCATTTCACTCTTGTTTCCCACGCTGGAGTGCAGTTCTGCAATCTTGGCTCACCTCAACCTCCCAACCTCTGCCTCCCCGGTTCAAATGATTCTCCTGCCTCAGCCTCCTGAGTTGCTGGCATTACAGCCATGAGCCACCATGCCTGGATAATTTTGTATTTATAGTAGAGATGGAGTTTCACCATGTTGGTCAGGCTGGTCTCAAACTCCCGACCTCAGGTGATCCACCCACCACAGCCTCCCAAAGTGCTGGGATTACAGGCATGAGCCACTGCACCTGGTCAGCTCTCATGTTCGTAAACCAGCATGCCTGAAGAAGCCTAGCATGGAAAAATATGTAGGTAGAGAAGCCAGGCATCCTAATCGTCCCAACAGAGTCCACCCAGGCCAGATAGTAGAACTGTTTGCCACCCAGGAAATCCAGGCAAAGTAGAAATAGTTTTTGTTTTTAGCTACTTAGTTTGCAGGTAGTCTGTTACACAGAACTAAGTAAAGCACTGTTTCTGTCATTTATTCACCCACAACTATTCATTCAATGCCAAGATTGTGCCCATCAATTGGCACTGGAAAAACAGAGGTGAACATTGACCAAGGTCCCTTCTCCCACAAGGTTTACCTTCTCACATCTGAGGGCAGAGAGGGGCAAGATTGACAATTAGAAAACAGAAAAATAAATAATAATTTCACACACAAAGAAGTGAATCCTGTAATAAAAACAAAACAAGATGAAGGAACAGGGTGTGACTGAGGTGGACAGGGAGGAGAAGATGACTAAAGAAGGCTTTACTAGTTTCATGACATTTAATCAGAAGAAGAGATGACAGCCAGGCAAAAATGTGAGGGAGCAGCATTCTATCTGTAGATACAAAGGCCATGATGTGTCATTAGGCTTCTACACATAGGGGAAGCAAGGACGCGCGCAGGGCAATGAACTACAGTGAGTGACTGAAGAGGAGGTCCAAGCAGCAGGTGCTGGAGAGCTCTTACAGATCTTTGCACATCACAGTAAGAAGGTCTTTTACGTTTCCCACAGTGAAGTTTTTCTTCACTACTAATTTGTAGTTATCCAGAGACACAAAAGTACATTATTATAAATGATTCAAACAATACAGTAATAAATTCTCGCTCCCCAAAACCCCACTCTAATCAGGCTAACTTTCTGTAATGGGCATTTAGTCCCACAATTTAAAAATAAAATCTGCACCATGGCAAGTTGTCAAAGGTGCCTGTTGCATGGATCACATTTGATAAACAAAAATTCACTGATGAGAGCAATCTGTTTTTAAAGTAGCTTATTTTTACCCCAGAAATCCCTGACATGGGAGGGAAATGTAATTTGAATTTGGGTCCAATGACTAGGAGTTTGGAAGGCAGGTATTTTGAGGATAGCTCCACAACGGAAGAAGCTATCGCTGGTAAGAAGCTCAGAGGGAAAGCTTGGCCAAGAACCAAAGTCTTTTTACTGCTCCTCACACCGCGTGGTGGTCGAAACGGCAGTTGATTTTACAGCTAATAAGGCATTAAACTGAATCTCTTAAGCTTTTCATATTGAAAGTAATTGTAAATTGAATTTGCTAAAACAATAACTTAAAGAGGCAAGACTTGAATTTTATCAGAGCAAATCAAATGATGATGCGGAATTTAAAGAGCCACTGAAACAAGTGTTTTCAAGTACTTTATCGATCTCCCAGAAGCAGCCACTGTCGACGCCGAGCTTTGCTTGGCAAGTGGAATTATCGCACATTGATTATTCATCACAGAGTCAGACTGTAAGTCTCTGGCTCCGGGTGGGCTGGTCATGTATGTTTCAACACTCTGACTCTCAGTAAAGATAAGCCCACCTTGGAAGAAGCAGAGAGATAGCAACCTGGGCGGGGCTCAGAGACGGGAGCTGGCCCATTTTCAGAAAGGAATGGGGACTGAAGGAAGCAGAACATTTTAAGGTTAGCCCTTTAAAAAATGCATTTATAAAGGCACTGATTGTACTGTTCACTTGGGCTGCTATGACAAAGTACCATGCAGACAGGGAATGGGGAGGCCTAAAAAACAGAAATTGGCAGGGTACAGTGACTCACGCCTGTAATTCCAGCACTTTGGGAGGCTGAAGCCAGCAGGTTGATTGAGCTCAAGGGTTCAAGACCCGCCTAGGCAACATGGTGAAACTCCGTCTCTACAAAAATAATAAAATAAAGAAATTTCTAATCATTCTGCAGGCTACAAGTCCAAAATAAAGGTGTATTGCAAGGGTTGATTCCTTCTGAAAACATCAAGGGAGAACTCTGTTCCGTCCTTCTCTCCTGGCTTCTGTGGGTTTGCCTTGGCGTTCCTCGGCCTGTGGCAGCATCATCCCAGTCTCTGTCTTTGTGTTCACAGGGCGTTCATTCTATGTGTGTCTCTGGATCCAAACTCCTTTTTTTAAGGACATAGGTCATATTAGATTAGAACTCCTTCTAATGTCCTATTTTAACTTGATCACATTCTGAGGGGCTGGGGGTCAGGACTTCGACCTATAAATCTGCGAGGGACAGAATTCGACCTAGAGCAGTGATGTACTGGTGACATAAAAAGTGCACTGAATCACTCAGTCATTCTCAGTGTTGGCTGCAGCTCACAATACCCTGGGGAGGTTTAAAATGTAGCTATTCCTGGGTCTTACCTTCACTGATGTTGATTTAATTGGTCTAGGTTAGGGGCCAGGTGTAGATATTTTTAAGAGGCACCTCTGGTGGTTCTAATGTGTAGCCAGGATTAAGAATCACTCATTAAATGCCTCCAAGGGCCTACTGTCATTCAGAGAGGAAACTATAAAATATATCAATTATTTTAAGCATTGTATTAAGTCCTAGAAATATATTGGCAATCAATGCAGTTACAGAAACCACAGATAGAGTTTGGATCCAGAGACACACTCAGGATGAATACCATGTGGGCACGAAGACAGACATTGGGGTAATGCTTTCACAGGCCAAGAAACTGTACCTGCATTGATCACATAATGTATGGCCTGACGTAGCAGCCCCATACATATTGATAAAAGAATGAAAAAATACATATATCAATAAATTCAAATCAACACATATTCATTATCTACTATATGTTAAGCATTATATTAAGCACTAGAGAAATATAAATAATTTTTTAGTAACTGAATGAGTGAATGAATGGTTGAATGAATGAGATCATATCCCATATTACCTTCTGGTCTGCTGATAATTTCTGGGGAGGTATTATACCATGGGATTTAGAATTTTCAACATGCTAGAAGAAGTTCTCTCTAGAAAAAATACTTTTAAATCAACTAGAACAGCCTGACTTCCACCTAGAAATTGTGATTTTTTTTAATTATAACAACTCATAGAATTAAGATCTTAGGACCATCCTTTTTTACAACAGAGCACGAAGATGCTTGCATAATATACCATGAAATATTTGCAGACACATTTCAGTATCCCTACAGAATGTCCAAGAGGTGCCACTAATGTGTAAGACAGAAAAAGATGGAGAGTCCCAACATAAAAAAAATCAGTCATAAACAATGCTTGCATTCAGAATAATGCTATTCAGATGCCACTGCCAACAGAATTATCCAACCCAAGATGCAAATGTGAGGATTTATTATTCACAGAATTAGTCAAACAGAAGTTGAATAGCATATAGAGGTGAGCAGTTACCTGCTAAATTTGATAGTTTGATAAGTGCATTAGATGATTTTAGTCTTGTGAAAAAGCTACTTTTGCATCTTTTTCTCTGTTTGTTTTGTAATATTAATAGCTGTAGAGGATTATGGGGAACTTGATTCACTTGTTTCTTTATACACCCATTCAACAAGGTCAGTTATTAGCACATATTATGTCCCTATGGAAATTGCATAAAGGGGCCCTCCTGGGTAAAGAAATTACAAAACAGGTGCTCCTCCTTAGGGCTGAAACCGGCCTAAACCAAGATACATATGGTCATGAGCTGGATTTTAGTGCCCTGCGCCTTGGCTACATGTCTTTGTGCAAGAGGGTAACCACCATAGACAGCAGCCCAGTGTCCAGCAAATATCTATAAAATGCCTACTTTGTGCCTGTCCTATGCTGGGTCCCAGAAATACAAAAGGGAATGAGATTACGTCCTGCTCCTCATGGAGTTCAGACACAAACCACATGAAGAATTGTAGGATAATGTGAATACTGAAGGGATGGGTTACCTGTAGACAGACAGTAGCCAAGGCCTCATAGAGGAGGGAATGTTAGCAATGGGGCTTGAAGGAGAATGAGTAAGACTTTGTTTCACAGTAAAAATAGGCAAGACAGAGAGTGATAGTCAATGTCAAAGTGTGATCACAGTAAAAGGTGATCAGGGGAAGCAAAAATCCTACAAAGCCGGAAAGCAGGATGAGTGGAATGAGAATAGCTGGAAGATTAGTCTGGAAAAGTACACTGGCACTACACTGCTCAGATTAGCTGGATAAAAGATAAAAATTGATCATTTAAGATAGAGGAAAGGATTCAGGCAACGAAGGTGATGTTAGGAAGCAAGGAGATAAGCAAACCAGCACTGGGGAAAAGATCCACTGATTGTTTATCCTGGAAAACAGAAAATATCCAGTGTAACTTGTTATCTGTTCTTTGTTGCACAGATGGATCATTTCCATAAATTACTTGGCTTATCAGATGAATTGACTTCAAATTTCTCATGTTGTATTTCACTTAAACTGTGTTTCCACTTAGAAGAAACTGAAGCCTGGCATTGTGGCCCATACCTATAATCCCAGCATTTTGAGAGGCCAAACTAGGAGAATTGCTGAAGGCCAGGAGTTGGATACCAGCTTGGCAACAAAGCGAGACCCCATGTGTACAAATAAATAAATAAAATTATCAGAGCATGTGCCTGTAGTCTGAGCTACCCGGGAGGCTGAAGTGGGGGAATCATTTGTGCTCAGGAGTTGGAGGCTGCAGTGAGCTATAAATATGCCAGTACACTCCAGCCTGGGTGACAGAGTGAGACTCTGTCTCTAAAAGAAAGTAAAAGGAAAAAAGAAACTGAACCATCAACCCAGATTGGTTAAGCCATTTTGGTTTTATCTTTAAAGTACAGGATAATTTCCCAATATTCTCTAATTTACAAACAGATAAACTAGAACACGTGGCTTCTTCTACTAGCATTGCTGATGAGGGAAAGACACTGTTAATTGGGAGGATGTGTATTGCTATGCTCTGAAGCCAGCAAATATTTTTCAGCAAAGCTGGCATATGCCCTTCTGAGTCTTTGGTTTATGACCATCTTTTTTTCTTCCCCATTTGACCTCCACACAGGATGAAGAGGCTGTAATAACTAACAAACCCAGTTTATGGCTAGTATTGATTTGATAGTAAGTGGTATCATAACAATATGTGACTGTCAAGTTTCTGCTAAATTTCAAATTTGATTGCTTTTTGGTAACGCTGTCAGTCTCTGTTCTCTTTTTTCAATTGCTTACATTTTCTGAGTGCCCAAAGCTCTGTAAAGTTCCTACTCAGCTAAAATAACATGGAATCTAATTTGAAAAATCCAGTGGAGTTTAACTATTAATTATTCTGTGTTATATTCGAAGGGTAGAGATTTTACACTGATCACATCAGCAAAGTTGAGCTCTAATTGCATTAGGTTACTTGATAATGTTCTAACATACAACTTTTATAGAGTATTGTTTGAAAGATAATTCTTTGAAATAAATGGAAGCATCAGACACTGAACCTCAAGGGAAACGGTCAGATCTGAAATCAGTTACTGAAATACGCAGGGCAAAATTAAATGCCTTGTCAGACTATATTTTTGACATATATTGCTGCAACTGTGTGAATTGGGAAACTTTGAGCACCAATCATTTTTTTCCATAATCCTGACTTGCTATCTCAATATATATATATATATATTTGGATACGAAGTTTCGCTCTTCTTACCCAGGCTGGAGTGCAATGGCGCGATCGGCTCACCGCAACCTCCGCCTCCTGGGTTCAGGCAATTCTCCTGCCTCAGCCTCCTGAGTTCAGGCAATTCTCCTGCCTCAGCCTCCTGAGTAGCTGGGATTACAGGCACGCGCCACCATGCCCAGCTAATTTTTTGTATTTTTAGTAGAGACGGGGTTTCACCATGTTGACCAGGATGGTCTCGATCTCTTAACCTCGTGATCCACCCGCCTCGGCCTCCCAAAGTGCTGGGATTACAGGCTTGAGCCACCGCGCCCGGCCTGAAAATATATTTTTATACCATCTTCTATGAACTCTGAAGGTAACTAAACAGGGTATTATTCACCTTTGCATCTCCAGTACTCGACCTTTGTTCAGTATATATGAGGTATTCAAAAATGTTTAAGAAATAGAAGAAGAATAATGATAAATTTTTCCTATAAAACAAACTCTATCCAAAATATTTTATTTGAACTTCTCATTAATTCTTGCAGTAACACCATGAAGTCATTACCCGTTGTTAATTTTACAGATGAGAAACTGAGGCTCAGAAAATTCATGTAACTAGCAAAGGGCAAAGCAGAGGTTTTGGCAGCTATAAGTTACCCATTCTTAACTGCTGTGTTATACTTGGTGAGTGCATAAAAATTTAAGCAAATAGTGATTTGCATGTATAAATATTCATTTGTACAGTGCAACCACAGTGCGAACGTGGCAATGGGACACATACCCCACAACCCACAGGTTATTAGGACGCTGCCAGAGGAAGCACTTTTATTGAACAAGAGGTTTGGGCTAGAATCATGCTACGTGGTTGCCATAATTTACAAAATCATCAGGATATTCTCTGATTCTAAATAGTCTCATCCACTTTTCCTGTTGAAGGAATAAGGCAGTCATCTGTCACTCAAGCAAGTAGCAATGATGTGATATTATGGATTTTTCCAACATAGCCTTATATTAAATAAACAGATTCAAAAGCATTATTTTGAATCAAATTTTTTTAGACAATAGGCAGATAGCAAAGACAGATGTTAAATTATATTCAATTATAAAAATATAACTGACTCAATTATTCTTTCTTAGGTATCAAACACCTGAAGGGCAAGACAAGTTCTGCATATCTGATAATTAGGGAATTCTTTTTAGAGACACAGATATAGCTACAATAACAATGTAGAATTGGCTGGGCACAGTGTCTCACGCCTGTAATCCCAGTACTTGGGGAGGCCAAGGCAGGTGGATCACGAAGTCAGGAGTTCAAGAACAGCCTAGCCAAGATGGGGAATCCTCATCTCTACTGAAAATACAAAAATTAGCCAGGAGTGGTTGAAGGTGCCTGTAATCCCAGCAGCTCGGGAGGCTGAGGCGAGAGTTGCTTGAGCCCAGGATGTGAAGGTTGCAGTGAGCCAAGATCGCACCATTGCATTCCAGCCTGGGCGACAGAGTGAGACTCCATCTCAAAAAAAAAAACCA